AAATACCAATAGCCCCAGAACTGCCCGGTACATATCGTAATGGTGGGTGAATTTGTTGTGAGTGAAACTCTCGTCGCAGAATTATGAGAAATTGAGTAAAATTCATTTCAAGAGGGATGTAGTGAAAATGACGGATGGTTTTATATTCGACTATTACCTCAATCTTTTTATAAAATAAAACGTATGTGAAGAAGATTGAAGATCAAACCCTAATATTTAGTGAAAATGACTAACCTCTTCGTCTCCTTTTTGAAATTGAAAGGCGAGCGAAGTCGAATGGAAAGCTTTTACTTGAATACGACTATAATACAATAAGAAAATAAAATATTTTCTTTAAAAAAAAAAAAAACAGATATTTACTATTACTAGCCTACCGAAATTCCTTGTCCAAGGCTGATACCTTTTCATAATCTGCAACGAACATAATAATTCTATCTGCCTTTAACAATTCACCACAAGTTGGATCAATGGAGATTGTAATTTCGTTTTCAGTAATTTTTGTTTGAACCTACAAAAAAATCTTCAATGCTCCATCTTAAAAAACAAGTGTTTGCGGTATTGTATAATAAGACAAATAATTACTGGCAAGATCCATTTAACTATATCATTACGTAATTTTAAACAAATCTTTCGGTCCTCTCGTTCATAAGATTCAACACCCATAAACTGAATATCCAATCTCCCACAATCAAGTCCAAAACAAATTGCATCATTGTCAGAGTTAAAAGACACTGTTACAGTTTCAAACTTTTTAGATTTGTAATTTCCAATGATAATTGAAGCAAGATTAAATTGTAATGAACAATTATCTTCATTTTCACTATCTTCATAGTTTTCAATCTGTTCATACAACAAAGATTGAGGATTAGAAAGAAAATAGCTTGTATATATTGATAATCCAGTGTTAATAAATCATTTCAGAAGTTATGAAACTACTAATCGTTCCAATGGATAAAGACGAATATAGTAACGTGAGGTTGCAAATGGAGAAGAAGGAGATAAAAGGGTCAAAGAATCAGATTGCTCTGCGTAATTGTCCATATTTATTAAGCAACGCATCAAATGCATCAAAGTATAAAATGGCTAACAAGCGTAAGATTTTCTTTAATAGCACACTTGCCTCACTACAAGTTCTCATTATACTATGAGCACTTTCAGAAATATCGTTAGACGTATCCATGAAAAAAAAAGACGAATCCAATTCATTTCAAAGCTTTTTATAATATATTCTTTGAATAATTTGAATAATCTAAATGTGTCATGGTGACAAGAGTTTAATGGTTTAAATTTTTTGAGGTCATTATAAATATAATTATAATGATCATTAGCGTTAGAGTGAAAAAAAACTGTGTTCAGGCATAATTTGTTACATAACCTTCAAGCAATCCGGGTCATTTACTCTCAGGATAAATGGCTATTAGATGGGTACACAATTCGCATCATCATGTCAAATCTCGATCCCACAATTACCTCGATAAAAAAATCGCAATTTTACTTCAAAATACTAGCAGACAATGCCAGAGTTTATACGATAGTATCAGAACAATCTTTTTTTGGATTTCTTGACATTGTATACACTTTCGCGTTTGCTGCCATAATTGGATTGATGGTATTTTAATTTGTATTTATTTTTATTTTATGAAGTTTATGGTTGTAAAGGGTAACACTTTTTCTCCGAGATAGAATAGGACACCAATATCATATGGAATATGCATAACACTTTTGATAATATGGCTTTGGACAAAATTTAATATAGTTAAGCAGGGTATGACATAAATTATTACCCGTTTAATAGAATAAAAAAACTGTACATATTTGATAACATCTGTTTTCCCAAAAGAAAGTATCTTATCGATCCGCGATATTGGTATACAGGTTGAAACCGTATACATAAACGGTAGATGTGTTTCCCGATTCATCGAGCGTTCAAAAATTTCCGATATCATAATCAACGAAGGTATCACGATGTTACAAGTTAAATTTTATATGGCTATAATCGTTGAGGGACAGGATAGAATGGTTGTGGTGTTTCAGGTAAGTTAAAAAAAGTAAGTTGAGCTTTAGAAATTGAGTTATTCACATTAACTTTCTTGTTAAAAAAATTTTTTCTTGGGGATGAAATTGAAGCACCTGCTGCCAAAATACAGTATACTTATACAAGTATATCAGGGTACTAGATCAATTATATTTAATGAAAGTGAAGAATCTGTCGAGAATTCTGAGAGTTTTAATTCAATATAGGACGCATACATATACACATAGTCTTAAGAACCTTTAAAACGTTGAATGTGTATCTGTAACAATAGTTTATGCTTTAATTTATAATTGGATAACAATGATGAGACAAATGGTTGTTAAGAAAAGAAAAAGGTAATTTAGATACCGTAAAATTGAATATTTAACGCTAAGTTGATGCCGACTCATGATAAAAACTTTTGTGTTTAAATATGTTAATTGTTAGAAAACTTGTCCGCAGTATATTGAATATATTGAAAGTTTTTAGGTATTATAGCATAAAATCTTAAATCATCTTTTATTATTATCTGTTGATAAAAGATGTTAAAAAGATATTAAACAGTCAAAAAAATTAATTATGTATACATGGTATTATGAGTATTAAGGTGATATAACTACAGATTAATGAATTTACAATGCTATTTTATAACAATTATTTAATAAGAGAAATACTGTCCTAGCACTAGTGTTACCACTTCGTTGGCCAATCGAAATTTTGGCAAATCTAACAGGAAAATCCAATTTTAATCTCAAATTTTTTGGACTCTTAAATATGTATTTAAAAAGTAAACACACAAACCTATAATTGAAACGAGATTGCAAAGTGTTGAAAGGCCAAATAATATGTGTATTAGTCTTTTGTTTCTTCTAAAATTTTAATTCTTGTGCTTATAACGCGACCATTCCTGCGAAACCTTGGCCCTCCTTTTTTATTAAGTTTTTGCTACAAATGACAAAAAAAAAAAGAAACCAATGCAGTACTAA